TGGTAGTATCAGTTCGTTTGAAAGGACGTATATCAATGGTCAGTTTAGTGTGGATAAGCCAAGTGTAAAGGAGAGAGTAATTGTTAAATTGACTTGCAGGAATAAAGGCATTTCTAGTTTCAAGTTACTATTTGAATGTTATTATCTTTGGTGTAAATTACTCTGTTTCTATACTTGGTTAATGAGATATGTCGTGTGTTTGTTGGTCATCTATATTCTACGATACAATGACATGGACGTGTTGCCGTTCAGATTTGAGGATATAGCTGATAGAAGGAAATCAGCAAATGAACTCTGCGACGATTTTCCAACCTAGAGCGTCAACCTGAGAAGGGTTGTAGGCGTACTGCTGTAAGTCCTACAATTCTTCAAAGCGTAGCGCATCAATGATCAGTCCAGTGTGCTTGGTGTGTGATTTTGTACATATGTTCATATTGTATATACTGAATTGATATCATCTGTCATCTAGCTTAAACTAAATCCAACCAAATGTAACACTGTTGATTTTAGCTTGAGAAGTGAAAAAGACATGCATGGATTGATTCAATCTCATGATTGTTGTAATATTGATGGTACCATGATTGAGAGTAAGTCAAGTGTTTCTTATCTTGGCATTAGTTTCTCGTCAAATCTTTGCTGGTCGTCTCATATTCTTATAGTTTCTAAGAAAGTTTTCCGTCTGACTTATTACATAAAGAAGTTGAGACACTCAGGTATAACTCAATCTCTTATCATACAATTTATTAATTCATGTGTTTTGCCCATCATTCTTTATTGTTCTCCATTATTCTTCCCTGGGCTACTCAAGAAAGATCATATAATACTACGAAGAACATTGAGGGCTGTAAGTAGGGTCAGTGCTATCCCTTTGACTGAACTAAATGACACTGTTGTCAATAGGCATATGAATTCTTGTAAACACTTAGCTAAAGTTATCTTATCTGATAGTGAACATCCTCTTTATTCACAATTGTTTCCGTGTATCTCTTCGGGTAAGACCAGAAGAAATTTTATAAACATTTATGCTCGTACTACAAAATATAAAAATTCGACCGTTCCATATTTGGCACGAGTATTGTGTGAAGAGACAAATATCAGAAAAGAACTTTTACAACTTTTGAATCAGTAACTAAACTATAAAATGAAATGATGCATATTAATACATGTGTTATTTGTTATATTATTTACTTATTATTCACTATGACCTAGAAATGGGATGATTTTGTTGGGTTTTTTATTTTTATTTATTTTTTTATTATTTTTCCTATTAACTATCAATATTTTAACATTTTATATATTTATATAATTATAAACAGAGCTAAACCATTGCAATATGTAAAAGAAACGCTGAAAATTCCATGCTGTAAATTTTTATTGTTGTGGAATAAAGTGATTATTATTATTATTATTGGTAATTCTGTTTGTGTCCGGATGACTTCCACTTGGATCATCAACCTGAGAAGGAATGTAGGCGTACTGTTGTAAGTCCCACGGTTCTTCAAGGGTAGTTTGTCGTGTCAGAATCCACAACATTTGATGTGTTGATTGTACATATGTTTGTGTTAAATAGTTGTGTGAGTTCCAATTGATGTAATTGTTGGTTAATCTTGTTTGTGTCTGGACATTCCACAACTTACAATCGTCAACCTGTGAAGGGTTGTAGGCGTACTGGTGTAAGTCCTGCAATTCTTGAAAGGAATTCCACCAAGACATGATCCGTGAGGTTGTTTGTACTATTTGTAAATACGTGTGGTGTGTCATATTAATTGGTGTTTTTGGATTCACTCTGTTTACTTGTTGTTTTCGTATCTTGTTGTTATTGCGTAATTTTGTTAAAATTTTCGTCGTGATTATTTCTGAAGTTGTTTCGAGTCTTCTACATCCATGAATGAATTGATTGATGTTAGAGACAGCAGATGGGTCGTATACGCCGGGGAGGTTACGCTATTGCTGAGAATGAAATGCACACGGAGATAATTGTTAGCTGCGGTCCGACACGCCGGGGAGAAAGAGTGTAAACGACTGAGGCTCGCATGCGTCACCGCTACTAGAACTGAGGCAGAATGAGTGACAAGCGATTGCAGTGGTAATTGGTAGTGAGTAGATAAGAAGATGTGCGTAGAGTACCATGAGTTGGTGCTATGGTCACGTTGCATTCTGCAAGAGTCATTCTAGCAAGTGGAGACTGTGTTGCAAGATGTCAAGAGGAGGTCTCTGTCTGGAGGCGCAGGTCGTCAGCGATGTGTGAGATTGTGCTGTGGGTATGCTTGTGGTATGTTGGCTTTTCTGTTTGTTTTCCATTTCAGCTCTGTCCGTGTGACCCAGGTTCTCGCAATGGCATCCAAGTCAACGTGTATTGGTCGTGAAGGAAAAAAGGGTTGGATCCCTTTATTGCCGTGGAGTGTCAATGGAGTTGAAGATTGAACGATCAATTCTTGGTTGTTTGCTCAAAACCAACTTCCCCAATTTTCGCGGAGGCATCAATACGACAGTCATCGTCTCATCGGTCGCTGTTCAGAAAGAAGACTGAAACATCGTCAGAAGTAACAACGATTTATTATTGTAATATTTGTTTACAGACCTTAGTTGCTTAGTTCGTTTATTCCTTTTATATGTTGGTGTAACAATACAGAAATATCAAACGGCAGATCGGTGTTTTGGTTTTTGCGTCCGTTATTACTAAGCGTTTCTGAGAAATCTTCTAAGAACAGCGTGGGCCCGAGCGTAGCGAGAGCTGGGCATTAACGGTTTATGAGACTTTGCTGACAACATCTATAAAGTTACAAAAGTTAAACTTCCTAGGATTAAATAAACTCAAAACTGAAATATATACTAACTTCGAACAAAACAAACTGATTTAAAGTTAATCTATGGACTTTTGTAGCATATAACACACTAAAAGCCGAAAATAAACAAGAGCCACTAAAAGGCAATGGATAGCGACACACGGCTTATGGAGAGGCTGAGCACTTCAAAGTCACTTAGGTATACTGTGATTGGTTGATTTGCCTTTGCGTAAACGCTGCGGCTAATACGTAGTACACGTTACTGAGTCGGGCTTTGAAATGGTAAAAATAAAAGTCGCATAAACATTAAGTTTTTCAGCTAAATGGGACAAGTTAAAATATGTATAAATCATACAGATGTGATATGCATTGGATCCAATAAGAAAAGGAGGCATAAATTTCGAAGATTTAGTCCTTTTTCAGCCTTCTGTTAGGGAAGAATGGGAGAGGCAGTTGTGTGATATTTGCATTTCACAGAAGACAAACTGTGAAAGACAAATCGAAAGTTCTATGATTCTTCAAATCTGTCATGGAATATATGGACTAATCTTACCGATTCTATTATTGTCCCCCCTCCCCGTGTTCACATACTCATTGTGGTTAAGATAAGGAGTTGTTCACCTGATATGTGTACATCATTTGATATTCCTCACTGCGACCGGATGTGAATGAAACGTTTAATGGACCTTAATTTGACTATGATGTAGCCATAAAAAATTTACAACCATGATTTGTTTCCACTGAATTGTTATGAACGCTTTTTAATGGGAATATATACTGTTTGACTATTGTTTTTTTGTTAATATATGCATTTATGCCGACTACTTGTATCTCCTTTATTTATCATTTCGAGGACATTGCAAAGTTGACGAAATTGATAAGCAACGTAGTAATACTTGTGTGAAATGCGTCATAGGCGTAAACCGTTATTATTTCCTCAGTGCGTCATCAAGTCTCACATGAAATGTTTCAGTTACATTTAATCCGGTTGCTCATATTATAAGGATGTATCCGTTTTAAGAAGAAAAGAGCGTCAAGCAGGTGTTTGTATTGCGATAACGAAATATAGTAACCCTCTTGTAAAATGCTGTCAAAGTCGTAGACCGTTATCATCATCTCAGTGACAATTAGTACGACTGCGTAAAAGATTACCTTTCATCGGGGCTAGAGAAAATTATACGTTGAGTTCATGTTTGTTGTGCGATTACTACATGTACATAATAACAAATGTAGGACGGCTACATACATCGAAAATAACGTATAATAGGTGTATCCTATTGAAGATAATTATCCTATTGTTCTTATGCTGCACAAATTATCACTTTTTCAAAGAAAATCATTACGCATTGCAAAACCTGCTACATCACTATTCCTTCGACAAGCGAAGGGAAATAGCAATACCAGAATACGCTAAATATATATTTATTTTGATAAATAATTTTATAATATCACAGAGATTCCAACATTAACACACAAATTCTTCAATTGCACTTCATCAAAGTCTCCAAGTAAAATTAACCATTGCGTCAATTACAATAAACCTGCAAATCAATAACAGTAAAACATCTATTACCAAATAATTAGCAGTATAAAAATGCTACAAACCATAGTACCTTTAAAGAAAAACTTTGTTTACTCACTGTCATCTCACGAGCAAATCAACTCAAACTCCCCTATAACTGTAAAGTCGTGTGACTGCTAACAAGTTTTCATAACTCACAGATTGAAAACACCACTTCAGCATTTCGCTAAATATACTTCGATTACCTAACTTATTTCGCTTTTATTACAATAATCAACAATTCACACAGAATTTTAACATTCCACATGCGAAGAAGCAACGAAATTCGATGACAGATACATGTTCACTCAAACTGCTGAAAACGTCTACCTTCCACCATTTTTCCAAGTTTTTCTTTAAAATATGGCATTTGTAATGTACATCAGTGGGAAAAAACACCTGAAAACAACGTAGAACGACCCAAACACAACATCTCGACTACACATAACGACACTGCGTGTATCTCTATCCATTTCCCAAATACAATTCACTCCATTTTCAAAGCTCGCGCGGAAATTCACTGTAGACGAGGAAACTTACAACCAAAAGCAAACACAAAGAAATCAATTTAGTTCACACTAGCTTGCAAAAATAATATTGGATATTGTTAGTTAGGATTTCGTTTTGTTTAGTCTAATGAATGCAACATGTACGGCATGCGCAATCTGCTAGTCTGCGTTCTTCAACTGTGGTTTGACGGACGATGTTGCAAGACGAAGTGATAGGCAAGGTTTTCTTATTAGAGCGACGAAAAAATTTCTTACTTACAGACATAAAACAAGAGCCAACTTCGGAAGGCGGCCTCCCTCAAAGCTTTTCTGCTCCAGTAAGTTTTTGGTATACATTATGATCTTACGCGAGTTTGGCGACGGATTGATATCAGGTAAAGAAGCATTGAAAACCTAGAAGTACTGGACGACTGTTTCATCGTATTTCGGAATCATCGGCTGTCTGCCCCTACTGCCTGGGTTCGAACCTAAGACCTTCCGGTTACAAGGCAAGCTCGTATAGCACTCAGCTACTGGGACCCGATTCAACGGCCAGTGCATGAATTCTAACTTCTACCTATTCATGATTTAGCGCGACCACCAACCAATGTCGTCGGTGGGAAGTTCACACACACTTGACTGTTTGGAACCCGGTGGTCACGACTTCTCTCTAGAACTCCAGGAAACTCCGCCCGGCAGGAATTCACTAGCAAGCATCAGATTAATTTTCAAGAGTTGGTTTGTAAAGATTACACTTGTTTTTACTAGTTTGACCACGGATTGATATCAATTTAATCCTTACAAACCAACTCTTGAATGTATTGTGCTGTTTTTAGATTAAGTCCGTCTTTAGTTACCCAATTCATTTCATTGATTTTGTACAGCCTGAATTAAGTATCAAAAATAAGACTTGTATTTACACTGGTGTTGCTAAAATTGTCCTAATGAATTCCGTTTTTGTAATCCGTGAGGACTGGATAATTGTAGTAGTATTGTGAAGTAACATGTCAAGTAACATGATTCATAATACAACTTCCGCAGACACACGCCTAGATTTGGCGACAGGTGGTGAGTGTGTTAATTCGTTAGCATTTCGTAACGACATTCTCTCTGGTTCTTCATCTGGTGTCACTCTTCCTTCAACAACGCAATCTTCTGGACCTATGATGACTTATGATGCATTTAATCATCGTCCAGTTCATTCAGATGTTCGTGCCACACCCGTATCAAAACGATGCACTCAACCAGCAACCAGTGTATTGCTGAATTCACAGCTACCAATGGTAAACACTTGTTCCCAACATTTAGGAAGTAATATACGAAATCCAGTTATATCTACAGTCGATCCGAACAGAGTAAGTATCATGAATGATTATCAGAATGGTAATTTCAGTTTACAAATATCTTCTGCATTTAAACTGTTATTTTCATCGCCTTATCTACACGTGAATGTAACAGGCTGAACATTTGTTTTACACGTTAATAATGTTCGTTATTTTTGTGTCTGTTGATGAAAGACAACTGTTGTTTACATATTTCTATCATGTAAGTAGATATCTTTGTATTTTGGTAACCGATAAAGTTTCAAGGCAGGTTACCTGTGTTGTAGCAATTACAGTAAGGTTCAAACTCTGTGTCATTAGTATATGACTCTGAGGACTAATATATGTGTAGGTAAATTAAATCCTACAGTGGTCACTTATTGAAGAAGTTGCATTGTAGCAACCCAGTAAGGATTTATGCACCTTGAGCCACACCAGCGTGTACATGTACTGGTTCTAAGGGATTGTTTGATGTCCCATTTTTGAGAAGAAAAACCGCAGTTCGAATATGCACTTCGCTAGTTGAGATCCGATCACCCAGACGTATGAGTCATTTTACATTTAGTTTTCCAATGATTATTATTCTATCAGTTGTCTCAACTACTAGTGGGGTTAAACAGGGTTACCCGATCTCCCCATTTCTTTTTAAATTTGCCATCAGTCACATTCTGGAGTCGGCTCTGAAAGATGTGCTTGGTGGTGGTTGTGTGGATCTGCTAACAGAAGACTTCAAATTCGAGTTTGCAAGCGAAATCGTCTTAACTTGCAATAACATGCATGCTGCGCAAATCGTACTTAGTCAATTAGTGGTCAATGCTTATTTATAAGTATGGTATGTGCTTTTCGCCGTCTAAATGCGAATTATTGTTACAGCACTGGGAGGAACCTATACCTGCGTTCACCCTTACAGGTGAACTGTTAAGAGTAGCCGATAAGTACATGTATCTAGATGGTTGTTTTAGTAACCATCACATGTCGGGTTGACAATGCTTCGGTGCACACAGCCTTGTCCAACATCTGTAAAACCTATACTCCGAGCTGAGGATCAGTGGCGACTCTGTGTATTGGATCGCCAATGCCTTTGCAGATTGGTTTGCATCCAGGAGTGTTATCATCCACAACTCAGCAGTGGTTTCTAGTCTTAGTGAGAACATCGCTGATTGATAAGCAGATATATTCAGCTGGTTACGGAAAGTAGTATACAATCGTTTCTGTGTTTTTATAAAGCCACTGAATAACTTGTCATATTTGTGCATCTCAAAATTCATATTTATTTATATTTGAAACAGTTGGCAATCTCTTCAGCTGCCAACAGGATTAATGAACAAATTATGAATCCTCCTCCTCCTCCTCCTATGGATGAAAATGTCCTATGGGGTCGTGTTACTCGAAACTCATCGGGAGATTTAATATTTCCCGGCATAAATCGCACTTTTAAAAGTGCTTATTCAGTCTTGAGACAAATTTATCAAACGGCTACAGCTCAAGACAGTTTGTCTTTACAGGTAGGTTTTTCATAATTTATATTGATTGATTTGTTGATATGAGTAGTAAATATTTTCAGCCAAGTCATCACTAGTCTATTCTTTACTCTCCTCTCTGTTCAGACATTGACCGGAAACTGATGAATAGTTCCTAACTACCACATAGGATCTTTTACTTCAATAGGTATATAGTTTGAAAATGATCAACCTTGATTTCCTGTGATTCGTTGAGTGATGCGGGTTATTGTGATGAAATCTGCACTGGTATTGATCAGAGATCTGTTGTAATTATTATTCCCTTGAGTTCCAAGTGAAATATAGGGCTTCAACAACACATCTCCACTTTGTCCTATCTTCTGCCGTCCTCTTCAGCTTGGACTTTGATTTCCCACGATCTCCTCCATGTCACCCTGGCACTGACGTCCCACTCGTCGTCGCTTCCCATTCGGGTGCCACTTCAGCAATGGCCTGCATTGTGCTCAACGTCATTTGACTGTCTCCTCAACTTATTTATGCCCAATCCAACTCCATTTTCTCCTACATATAATAATAATAACACCTTTATTCCAAACGGTATTTGTGGTACAGGTATGGAATTTTCAGCGTGCATTACAGTATATTGCATCTAATTACCTCATAAATTATGTAAGATTTTTAAAATCAAAAGATAAATAAATGAATAAAAATAAATAAAAATAAAAAAAAACAGCGTAGAGTTTACATTTCAAACAATGCACCACCGGATATGAAATATAAAATTAGTGTGTAATAGAAGATGAGAACAACAGCGTAATAGTAACGAGGAAAGGAAAACAAAAACTAATGGGACTATTTGTAAGAGTGCCGCAGTAAGTTTATCGTGTTCATACCTAACGGATTTCTCATCACATAACAGCTGTGCCAGATATGGTATTGTAGAGTTTTTGTATTTGGTGGTCCTAGCATATAGCCGCCTATAGCTGCTTCTAGTTCTACGGGATGAAATGCAAGGAGACAGCTGAGTATAGAGAGGATTCTCGGGGTCCGACAATATTGTATTCGCTAGTTTCTTACATTATATAATATGCCTATCTACAATAGTGTTAACCAGTTGGTTTAACGATACCCCACTTGCCCTACTAACGGCTCTTAGTGCCCTTCTCAGCAAAGCAAAGTCTTTCTTAAGTAGTCCAGGAAAGATTAATGGAGAGCAGTAAAGGGGGATGGGTTGAATTGTTGCAAGTTTCTAACCCATATAGAAGAATTGACTGACTGAGTTCAGATTCGTGTTGAATAGAATCCGAATCTTGTTGTTTATACTTCTGCGTGAGTGCAGAAGATTTGCAAACTGGTTTCATATTGATGAGGGCGTATCTCGCCTTTCTGATCCTCTCCGGCCTGCTTTAACGTCTTCACCCGTTCCGAGTGGCTGTAGTGGAAACGATGCTAGCTGCGTAGATAAGTGAAGGAGGCAACCTCAGTCAAATCTCTCCCGTTGATGGTGATTATAATAATAATAATTTTTTTATTATTGTTGTTGTTGTTGATGGTGGTGGTGGTGGTGGTGTGGCGGTTGGTTGGTTATCTTCATCACCTCCATCTCCACCTTCTCTATGTTCACCTGGAGTCCTGTCTTCGCTGTTTGTCTAACCTCTTGAGGCGGTTTGTTGGTTTTCGCCTGCTTGGCTGTCTGTAAGTCTTCGAATCCGTGTGACATTCGACACATATCATCCACACGTGAAATCCAGATCGTCTAGAGTCTTCCCATGGGTGGTCCAACGTATTCCTGTCTTCTCACTCCCCAGGTGCAGTGTGACGCATAGACTAGTCCACCACAATTAAGAATATCATCGGTGATAATGGGCAGCCAGCTTGTCGTACTCCTGTATACACCTCGAACGCCTCGTCCTGTCTTCCGTTTTGGATCACGTGACACACGTGGTGCTGTCATATTGTAGCAGAAGAAGTCAAGATACGGGTTCCAGGGTGTATTCTGCATTGATCAAACCGCTGTTTATATATCTACAGTTTATATTTGTTAACCAACCAGTGAACGTGTGATTTTGGTTTATATTGAATGAGATGAAAAAGAACGTTGAAATACACATATAGTATTCTGTTGCTAATGCAGTATTGAACTGTGGGAATAGGTGAGAATAATAATAATAATCCGTTGGAACACATTGTCTGTATCCCGCCACCACCACCACAGTATCATTATTTTGGACAGAGATAACTTCGTACATGGATAAATCATGACTAACAAAGGAGCTGGTCCATCCCAACATCTCTCTTCTTCAGTGAGTTCTTGGTTGGAGGACCACTGGACATTACTGTGCTGGTATGTTTACTCTCCGTCTGTGTTACCTCCTCGATGTAATAGTATGGGATCATTGGTTTATAACTGGAGGACAATGTAACCGTCTCAATAATTGGTCCAAAACATTTGTCCAGTAGGAGTCCAGTGGGCTACATCATCAACTTCAATACTATCAGAATTCAACTCAGGAAGAGTAGACTTCTCTCATTCTTCGAGCTGTAACTGATGGAGAAAACCAACGTCGTGAAACTATTGCTGTCAAATAGAGTAAGAGCGCCTGTATATATATATAGAGAGAGGATTCTTTGCATTCCTTGAAGAGAGGAGAAATTAAAGTGGAACTCCCCACACTTTGACTGATCATATTTCCCGGTTTTGTACAAACAGTATCGCTTCACAGATAGAACTGTCGATGCATTATGGGAATCCAGATTCTCTATTCTCTGTTTTGATGTTTAACTTCAATTTGCATGGTTTCATTGAATGTGAAGTGTTCAAATAATGCGTCAAGTGATAAATTGTTGTGCACTTCTGAGGCTGACTGACTAACTGACTTGAAAAGAGAATGAATAGTGTGAGTATGGAGATGGGATAGGACGGGAATGGATGACTAGATGATTGGAAAGGTAATTATTGGTGAGGATATGAATGAGATTTTAGCTTGATATAAGTATAAAACTTGGGCACTGTGGTAGAGTATAATTCCATTATAGATAAGATTTTATTTTGATAAATCGCACAGTGTTTACAGTTATATGAACTGATGACGTTTCGAGCACAAACTATTGCTCATAATCATATCAAGTTACTCACACAACTTTGATCTCTCATTTATATACATATGTGGAATGGATTAGATATTGGATTAAAAATCAATGTGAGATAATGTACATTCAGAAATAATCGTACGAGTGTTGTTGATCAATTGCAATTAGATGGGAAAATTGGACGAGTGTTTTTACAGTCATAATAAGCTGCTTGTTAGAATGTGGTTGAATTGAAATAGAATTTTAAGATTATTTATTATCTTCTTCTGGTTTGACTGATGGCATTAATACGAGTGTTATTGATCTACTATAATCAGATGGAAGATACGACGAGTGTTTTAATAGTCATAATAAGTTTTTTGTTAGGATGTTGGGATGTGCTTGAATTGAAATAGAATTTTAATATTATTTATTACCCTCTTCTGATTTGACCTGCGGTAATAATATCTTCCATATCTCTGGTATTTGCATTGAGTCATTTTTGTTGCATGTGTTGGGTGTGGACTCGATAAATAAGGATTCCGTAATCAACCTCTCTCTCCACTTAGCTATATTACTTTTTAGAATTTTAACCCTATCCCAACCTATTGTGTGGTTGTTTGTTATTGCATGAAGTGCAATAGCTGAGCTTTTTTCTAAATTACTTATCTTTTTAGGGTCAACCATTCTTACCTTAGCTAAATTCTTATGTTCTGTTAATCTGACTATCCCTGACCTACTAGTTTGACCTATGTAGTTGACCTCACAGTTATTGCAGGGTATTTTGTAAATTATATTATTTTGTTTAATTGGATCCACCGGGTCTTTTAGCCTACAGAGCTTGTCTCTGAGTGAGTTTGTAGGTTTGAATGCCACCCTAATTCTTGCTTTATTAAGAATCCTACGTAGGGCCTCAGATGTGCTTTCCTTATATGGTATAACAGTGGATGACTTATATTCTTTCTTATTTGTGTTATCATTAGTAGTTTCACCATTATTTTTATTTTGCTTTTGGTTTTTGGTGATCTTCCTAATGAATTTTATAGGATAGTTATTCAACACCAACGCTTCTTCTATCTGTTTTATTTCACCATTTAGGTCTTTTTTTGTGCTACTTAGTGCTATGGCTCGATTTGTTAGGCACTTTACTAAGCCTGCCTTAACAGTTAACGGATGAGACGAATTAAAGTCTAAATATCTATTAGAATGCGTTGGTTTTCTATAAACACTGGTGTGTAGTTTGCCTTCTTCTATTCGTTTTATTTTACAATCTAACATAGCTAATTCTCCTAGTTCATTTTCTGATTCAAATGTGAATTTAATTCCTTCTACTTGTGAGTTTATATGTGTCAGGAAGCTAGAGATATGTTCTGTTTTTAACACCGTGAAAGTGTCATCCACATATCTCCACCATATTTTTGGAGTGGGGTTAAACGTATTAAGAGCACTACTTTCCCAGTTGTCCATAAATATGTCTGCTACAATAGGGGATATTGGTGATCCCATTGCTACACCTTCTGTTTGTTTATATATTTTGCCTTGGAACTTAAAGATGGTAGATGTGAGACATAACTGGATCCCTAACATAATTTGTTCAATGGGCAGCTTTGTCCTATGATTCAGTTCAGGATCCAATATCTAATCCATTCCACATATGTATATAAATGAGAGATCAAAGTTGTGTGAGTAACTTGATATGATTATGAGCAATAGTTTGTGCTCGAAACGTCATCAGTTCATATAACTGTAAACACTGTGCGATTTATCAAAATAAAATCTTATCTATAATGGAGATTTTAGCTTGTTGTAAGGCTTCATAGTGTTTCTGGTGCTGTTGTCGAAGTAACTGAATTTAGTGAAATTTGAGGTAGGTAGGTGATTAAGCACTTGTAAAATTGACATGACTGGATATGTTACTGGAATAATTGTACGAGAATTTGTGATTTTTTCCACTGAAGTAAATAACGCCATCGCGGAAGTTTTTTTGTTGACGAAATATGCGTGCACTTGAGGTTCGTCTAACTTGAGTAAAATGCATCTCCAGCCACAACAGTTTTTGTTTATAAGTGTACTAGTAATATCAATATTATATTTGTAATTATTCCTATTATTGTTATTTTCAGTTACCGTCATCCGCGATTCAATGTGAAAATCAGGCAAATATTTATTTAGAAAAATCACTACCGAATTCGCTACTTAATTCAACTTCAATAAAAGTGAGTGAATAAAATAATTGTGGGCGTTCCACTGTTTTTCCCTTGAGAAGATTTGACTAACCTGATGGAGAAACGTCCGTGAATAAATGTATAATCTTAGAAGATATACCAGTGAGGAGGATGTAGTTGACTCACCTAAGCAATTGACTTCCAGCCAATTGGGTGCCAGGTTCGACTTCGGTTCCACGGTTATCATCAGCCCTGTCACACATGATAAGTGTAGCTGTTAGTGTGTTACGTAAGAAATCTGTTTCAGGTAACTGAGTTCTAACAACGACAATGATAGCAACAACAAGAATCGAGAAACCATACCGTTCCCAAGCTAGAAATCTCTACTGTTCGGAAGTGTGTAATATACCGTTAAATGCTAGGATTGCACAGTATTGTGAGCAGCTTCCAAAACTAGTGTTACGCCCCTAGTCTACATAATTTCGCGCAGTTTAAATTTAGTATTTTTTGTGTTCTGTATCATCTCATTCCCCCAAATAGAAAAGGTGTCAGGATTTTTTTGATTTTGAAAAAAAAACTCCATCACAGGTTGAGATCAGTTGGAGGGAATCATTGAGAACGAGAGATAATGTTGACTGTCTCCCCCTGTCGTAACTTCAAGCTCCTGTTTAATTTGATTCGTGGTGGGATCATGTGTATACAGTAACGCAGAGTTGATTATATTACAAACTAGGATGTGAAAAACACCTGTCCTAGTGTTCTCGTGCTTTCTCAATGCTTGTCTAACTTGTGCCAGTGCAGGATATTTATTCTGTGGAAAATACCCGATGGGAACACTAGAGAGAGAGAGAGAGAGAATAGAACAAGAAGCTTAGAAAAGGTATCTTTTCGTCAATTTCACCTTCGGTTGCATTTACAGATATATAAGTTCGCATTGTTCGCAATTATTATTATGATTATTATTATTAATTCAAATTAGTAACTCAGGTGACACTATTAAAGAAGGTAATAATGTTCAACTTGAAATGAAAGTTTGAATGTGTGAATATGGGTGACAAGGGGGCGTAGAAACAAAATTACATGGGATTGAAAAGTGATTGTGTAGTGTGTAAAATAGTTTTTGAACGAAGACAGATGTGGATAAGATGCGCATGGAAACAAATTGAAACAATAGCTTTTATAACTGAAGGTGAGAATGTGAAGGGAATGCAGAAAAACAACACCCAAAGAGCCAAATAGAACTGTAACGGTAGAAGAGAAGAAACTTGGTAACGAAATGTTTATTTGGTATTTGACATGTCTGTATACAGGGAAATTCTGTACACCTTGAATGACATCCATAATTTGCACATATCCAACCTGTGTTGTGCTACTTCTGCTCCCCACCGCCACTTTGTATTGTATCTCTTTGTCTTATTTTCGTGTCTTCCATTTTTTCTCACAATATACTGGTTCATTTGCTCGCCTTGACGTCAAATACATCTCTCCTTTATTTGATATTTTGTGCTGATGAATGTCCCTGTATACACCACTGACGAATCTTGTCAGTAGCACATGCCACGAAACTAGAATCATAGTTGAAGTCTACTTTAATTCCTGAAATTTTCCATCTTTACATATGATGAAATGAAAGGCTATATTTCAGTATGTTTCTATGCTCATCTCACTCACATCTGTCTTAGTTAAAAACTGTTCTACATACTCAGCGATTATCCAACTATTTTTAATCCAATGTAATTTTTGTTTCCTTGCTATTTCTAATCTAATAGACTGGTTTCAACTCAGAACCTTGCACACTTGTGCATCAGTTTGAGTTGCCATACTCCATGTAACACACAAACCAACACAAAAAATCCACATAGAGGTTCAAAAGAGAGACACAGATAATAAACAGTGTCAGCGTCAGTGTGGGGAAAAGATTAGTAATATGGAAGGACAATAGAATTTTATTGGTTATGAGAAATCACAAAGAGCGAATGCATCTGCGCCAGCCATCACCCGAAGACGATTGTGAGCCATATCACTAATTGTCTCCAGTCACTGGTTCTCAGCATCCCGAAGACTACAAACAGGTACTCTACACCTCCCAACGTGACTGGCTGGCCTAAACTAACTTTTGTGGATTTCACTGACTGATGAAGCCATGTTTTGGTTTGACCACCATCTGCTAGCTATCCTCCAACCTGATCCATTCTATGTCAGCTAACATTATCCATTATCGAGGAAGGCAATGGCTAGTTAGGCATGTGTAACACATGTCCTAACCATCTCTCTCAATCGATGTAACTTCACAACCTCGTCGACTGATTTCCCCTTCTTACACAGCACTCGACCGATGCCTAACCTCAATACTGGTCACTCACTCTGTTATGCCACCTAATATGGGAGACAGAAAGCAGACACCTCTGATCGGAGATAGCTAGCAAGGCTTCTCATGTATTCCGATTTCAATGGCTGCTGAGCAGTACACATGTCCTTTGATCGATAGCTAACCGGACATCACGTCTACGCCAGAGATAGTGTACGCCAGCATACGCGAAACGAGCCTTCTGTATCCGTGCCGTGATTCCATCAGCGATCAACCCCGCTGACAACATTGGCAGATACAAATTCATAAATAAGTGTAGTGGTAAACACGCACACGAAGCCCTCCAAAGGCATTCATTAATCAAACTCAATGCCACCGCCTGCAGCCTATATAGATATTGCTTACATAACAAGTGAGTCTAAGCAAAACATTGTAAACACCTTTTTAGATAGACAGACAGACAGACACACGCACATACACGCGCATGCATATGCATATTCATTATAACAATGATAGGGCACAACAAAAATACAGAAACATACATAGCATAAAGTCACAGCACATAAAGGAAAAACAAACAACAAATGAGTCAACTCACTCGATACATTAGAAGATTGAATATCAGTAGTAGTGGAGGTGGTCTGTGCTGCTAAATTTAAATATGTGGTTGGCATAACCAACGGAAAAATTGTAAGAAGTGATGGTCTGAGAATCCAATCACTTCTTTTATCCGGGTGTGCAGATATCAAATGAGTAAATATGGCGCATTTATTATTAGCGCTGATAACTCCACCCTGTAGAACAGAATAAAATCGCGAGGACATTCCGCTTTCATGATTATTAGTGTTGTTAGTAGTTGAAGGATTTCTACTGATGTCCTCCGGACGATGATGATGTTGATGACTTGTATTTACATCAGCGTTACTGACCACCTCATGTAAAGTTGTCCAAGGACCACGACAGAGATGACAACAATACAATATTCGTGCGACGGCACGATTCAGGTGGTCTTCATACAAAGCACGACTTGTAAATTTTGAATGGCAACACAGGCAAATATGAAAACCCTGTGAAAATGGAGAAACATTAATATTAATATGATCAATACTTAAAATAATCATAACAATAACACTACTCCATTCCACTTCCCGCACCACTATGACTACTTACAACTGTGATGTCGTCACTTTGCCGTATGACTAAACACGTATTCACTACCTAACCCTGGAGCTAGAGTATTACTACTACTGTAACGACAGAAGGCAAGATGCGGACGCCAAGGTATATTTTTCATTGATCAAACCAATGTTTATATATCTACAGCTTATATTCGTTAATCAATCGCTGAGCGTATGATTTTGGCTTACATTAGACAACATGAAATAGAACATTCAAATACACACATAGTATTCCATTGCTAATGCAGTATTGAGCTGTGAGAATATGTGAGAATCACATATGGTTGGAACACATTGTCTGTACCAAACCAACACTACTACTACTACATGCGCGAACATAACTTACATCTAAAAATTTCACTTTAGACTATTTCAATACCGTTGAAGTAAGCTGTCCGCCTTTTTTTTCTTTCACAAAAATGTTTCGATACCCATTGTATGGTTGTACACTAATGTAATATTTGTGTTTAAAAACGAATCAATTGTATTCTAACCATAGATAGCTACGCTAAGACAGTTTGCTACGATCGCATTAACTGGGAGATGTGAGAAATCTCTTGATAATCAGACAGGATGCTGAACAGTCCCACAGACTCCGACGAAACAACTGTTCAGTAACATCCAGGTTTTTCAGTCTTCCCCCCAAACTGATGTCAACTACTCGTGACCAAACCTGAAAATCAATACACCTCTTGGCGATTTCATTCTCAACAATGATGCACAATCGCACTTTTATGCATAAGCTCGCATAGTTCACAATTATTATTATTATTATTACTATTATTATTACCAGTTAATTCAACATACTAACAAAAGGAGATGAAAGGACATGTTGCTAGGCTATTCAAATACATTGGAATAAATGAATCCAAATGTTAATTCACATTCATATAGTCTTTTGAATAACCCAGAAACATGCCATTCACTTTCCAGTCAAGAATTTCTCGACATCAGATGAAAGTTGGAAGGAGTGAATATAGAGTACTCCGCTGACAGAATGTAATGCCTTCTAAATACCTTGAGCAGCAAGCAATCTTCGAATGTTTGGCATGCAATTCGCTCCCCTTGCCAAATACAAGATGATAAGGCTGCAGGACTGGATTACATCGACTTCCAGCGTAAAGATAAGGATTGAAGTGATAGTGTGTACTGACCACTTCACTTACCTAGGAAGTTGCATCAACCCCAACCGGTTGGTCCCTGACGAATCAATTCTCAGCATGGATACAGGAGCCTCGATCGCGTATGCCAAATAGACATGATACCGACTAGCACTCAGCCCAAGGACGTGTGTACTGCTCAACAGTACGCCCCGCCATGGGCGAGATATGGCCGCTGAAAGTGGAATACATGAGAAGCCTTGCTAGCTATCTCCGATCAGAGGTGTCTGCTTTCTGTCTCCCATATTAGGTGGCATAACAGAGTGAGTGACCAGTATTGAGGTTAGGCATCGGTCGAGTGCTGTGTAAGAAGGGGAAATCAGTCGACGAGGTTGTGAAGTTACATCGATTGAGAGAGATGGTTAGGACATGTGTTACACATGCCTAACTAGCCATTGCCTTCCTCGATAATGGATAATGTTAGCTGACATAGAATGGATCAGGTTGGAGGATAGCTAGCAGATGGTGGTCAAACCAAAACATGGCTTCATCAGTCAGTGAAATCCACAAAAGTTAGTTTAGGCCAGCCAGTCACGTTGGGAGGTGTAGAGTACCTGTTTGTAGTCTTCGGGATGCTGAGAACCAGTGACTGGAGACAATTAGTGATATGGCTCACAATCGTCTTCGGGTGATGGCTGGCGCAGATGCATTCGCTCTTTGTGATTTCTCATAACCAATAAAATTCTATTGTCCTTCCATATTACTAATCTTTTCCCCTCACTGACGCTGACACTGTTTATTATCTGTGTCTCTCTTTTGAACCTCTATGTGGATTTTTTGTGTTGGTTTGTGTGTTACATGGAGTATGGCAACTCAAACTGATGCACAAGTGTGCAAGGTTCTGTGTTGAAACCAGTCAGTCATTGTCTTCATGTTTTCGACATGGAACTTTGCACCGATGTGCGGTAGTTCAAGTCGCCACGCTCCATGTAACACACAAAGCAGGAGAAGAAGATGGAAGAATTGCATAATAGAGACAGTAGACAGAGGTGTGAGAGAAAGGAATCCGAGTGAGTCATTAATACGTGATCGGTGAGATTGTGTATTTTGGTTAAAAATAACTCCCTGAATTCTTTTTTTAGTAAACTTGAACAAAGCATGAATGACAAATGTACCACCAGGATACTATGAACTCATCTCTGATAGTTTCGTGGATTCTTCTCACACCGTTGGCTCCAGCCTGAACAATACAGAAATGTATAAATTACAATATAGATTTAAACATACTTTTTACACCAATGATAGGAAGTAAG